CACTTCTTTTTTCAACATGCTGTCCCAACAGCACTTTAATATGCAAATTAGATACAGTGTATAGATAACATTGTGCTTAATGGGAAAACCAGTTTATGGAATTTTTACACACATATTGCATAAAGCAAAATGGTATATCAAATCATTTGGTTATATATTTTATAACATAGTTGAGAACCATCCTTAAACAAAGTTAGTTATAAAAAAATCCTGAAACCTAAAAATTGATTGGTGATTAAAAAAAAAAATTCCCATTGTTTTTGTCTTTTCATGTCTATTCTTGTCATTTTATTTTTTTTAGAAAAACGGAGTCCTGGTGTCCTCTACAGAGGACATAGCATAACTTATGAATAAAATATAATTTTTCAAAAATTTTATTTTACCATTTTTTTCTTATGCTCTAAACAATGTAATGGCATGAACAAATACTAAATTCACAAAGCTTTTTATTTCTGGTTCTCAGGAGGAAACATTATAAAAAAAATAAAAAAAACTTGTATCAAACCTCGTGACAGATGACTATGTTATTTCTTGTGTGGTGGTGACGTAAGCTGAAAGAGGCGGGGTCACTGGGTTGCGCTCCACGCGTTGCTGTATAAGCAGTCAGCTGATATTACCGAGTATAACTTTCCAATGAGAGTCTACGTGACATCACCGCGTCCGCTCTGACCGAATCGAGAAGCCCAATTTTGTTCGTGGTTGCAGCTTCAGCGGTTTACGGCCGACTTCAGCGACGAAATAATAAAACAACACTGACACTGAAATACAACAGAGGAAGTATCGGAGCAATTCGCTGAAAAGAAACTCATTTTTCTTTCAAAGGTAAAAAAAGAACACTTTCTCTGCCTTTTCTATGAAAATATACGTTAACTAATTAATTAATCCTTTCTTTCTCTTTATTATTTAGTCTCTTTTGCTAGCGAATAGATCTGTTTGTTGGTCCTGTCAAACACTGACTACCGAATGGTAGGGTTGGTCTTCAGGGTCTTACCGCCCCTCCGTTAACTCTTGAACATAGTATGGCGCACAA